AGCCGGCAAACCTTGGCTCCCCGGCTGTGGCACCTTACTCTCGGCTGTAACTTAACCAATATCCCCCTCGACTGTAGCCACTGTCACAGCTCCACTTCCGACAGCGGGAGTGACATTTTGGGACATTCCGGCCATCGCTGCGGCAAAATCACACTGCGGCTGCAGCCAGTATTGCAGTTCGAAACAATTGCAGTAACATATCATATGGATTCTATACACAGTCTACCGACGAGGCTGAATCACCTCTCTGTTACTGGTGAATACTGGATTGGTATTCTTTCCCTGAGGTCAAAACACGAAAGCGATCCGAGCGAGGCTTGTGGCTTGAGTCTCAGCCAGCGATTGACATAACCACATCGGTAAACTCCGGGTGGATGGCAGTATTGAGAACTGAAGGGAAGGGGTCAGAAGAGTTCACGAGCTAGGCACGGCCTGCCCCACTCACTAACTTCGTGTGTTGTGTAAGTTAAAAGGCGACCGCTGATACCGAGCACCGTTCCTTCGGGTACCAGAAGCTAAAGCGCCTGGAAATAACAAATGAAGTCGGATGTGATTTCAATAGAAACAGTTGTAAAGTTTACAGAGTTGCCAGGCCCGTCATTTGATGTATAGTGTCTCTAATGTCTTCTGTGCTCATCTTATATTAAGTCGGGTAGGTAAGTACCACATATGTCAAATGAATTTGAAGATATAGCGATAGGCTTTAGCATACGAGTATGACTCCCATACGCCATACACGAGTGCGTAATGCGTATCACGCACTCACAATCACACATGCGTCGGCACATGGCTGTAGAAACAAAACATTGACATCAAACGCTCATTAGAAATGGAAACACCATTGTGCGTAGCAGAGTGTTTGTTCAGCCATATGTCACAGTGTGCACTGATAGGGAAGTGAGGTGGGACACGCCGATTCTCTATTTGCAGAGCGCGTGCTACATCTGTTTGCGAGGCTTTGTACCAACTACCGATTACAGATGCGTCAGTCGCTGCTATAAGTCCTACCAGATTGACTAGTGGCCAATACATGAACCGTGATCCATTGATCAATTGTCATTGGTCAGTCTCCTATCACAAACCCGGCCTCGATAACTAATCGATGTTCAGGAGCACTACAAATCGTGATATTTATCCACACGCCCGCAAACTACAAGACAGGTAGTTTGCGTCGGCTACATCTCCTTCCTTCAGAAGACCCTTGCATCGCACAGTCTTTGGCCGCGAGACATATTAGGTCGAGAACGGACCCCGGGTCTTGGCTCACCGAGCTACGGCAAGTTTCACACAGATTGCAGTAGCGGCGGAACACCTTCAATTAAGGGGGGGGGGGGGCACTGCCGACTTTTGGTCCCATTCTTTCCATGCAACGCCCATAGGGCTGATGTTAAAATGGCAAAATCAAAGGGGGGCACGGTGCCCCGGTGACTCTCACGTTCCGCCGCCTCTGACAGATTGTCCACCCGAACGGCCGCGTCGCAAAATAAAGGTCCGAAATTTCTATCCCGGGAGCTGAACCAGTCAGTCGGCAAGCTCTATGCCACAATGATAGAGCGTTGACCATTGCTGATCAGTTGGGACATCTGCCTGCACAGTCCGCCGCTGGTGGGATAAGCATACGGCTGCTGGTAGCGTTGCTGATCGTTCCAGATCGAGCGTTCGCCCACCATTTTGATCGCGACAGAAATTGCATTAGAAAAGGCGGCTGGGGAGAAGGGCCAGTTGGCGATAAAATTGGCCAAGCAGCTCACGCGCAAGGGCTATCCCATCTCCAGACAGGACCGTGAGACGCTCTTAGAAGAGCTCTCTGAGGCTCAGAGCCTTCAGTGGCTCAGTTCTGAGTCGACGCATGGTAGATGACAGGTCGACGTGCATTTTCATGTAGGACGGCGCACCAGCTCAACGCTTTGCCAAGGCCCATGCGGGGTGCGAATCGAGCATGCCGGACTTCTGAAGGAAGGGGATGTAAACGACTACAATCCGGACCAAATATTGATTGAGGAACTTTGGTCTATCGTCCAGCAGGACCTGGACAAACAGAAGTTGGTGGCCAGCCTCGACGCCCCGCAGCTATATACAGCTCAAACGGGCGTGGTCGAAAATCAAGCCGTCTGCGCTGCACAGCCTGGCTGCCAGCATGCCATATTACAATTGCGCGTAAATCCCTGTTCGTGGGGAATATACTGAACGTTAAAAAGAGTCGATATCTTTTATAAAGCAACTTACAGGGCACATTCTTTATAGGACAAAACGTATGCCGGACCCTGCAAGTTCCACACAATGTTCAATGATGATCTAATAATTCGCTGCAAGCGTGAAGTGGATTGGTAATGAGCATTGATGCAGCAGCCGTAGCAGCACGACAGCTATATTACACGTATTACAGCTGAATGATCTCAGTGCATGAAGCTTATTGAATTTTTTTCTTGTCTGTTTTTTAATCTTACGTTATTGAAAAGCTCTTCAATTTATGTCACCTGTTTAGGCAATAGAATTTGGAAATTGTAATTCCTTTATGTGCATTTATTGGAGTGTTATTATCTTTTAGACATGTGTACAGTTGCTAATTGAATGGGCATTCGCAATCTGAAGGAAGGGGCACACTGCCATCGTGTTCGTTATGCAACAAACACCTGTTCTTCATAAAAACAAACATCCCAACGGATTTGTTAGTTATTGTGATCTTAAAGATGTTGTGTTTGACCTATAAGTGAAATGTCTACCAATTATTTGCGGCTCGTTTTGCATAATATTTGAAGAGGTTTTTACGCACAGTTGCCTCGTTAAGAAAATGTTAGACACTGTCCTGGCAAGCCATTTTCCCCATACCTACCCCACCTCGCTGACATTTAAATTCCAAACAATGCTACAAACTTAATTCCATATTATTTTGCATTTTCCATTGCATCCTTGCTTGATTTAAAAAGCTTAATAGTTAGGTATATAATAGTTCACGTCGCACCTTTGGAAAGTATTGCTTTATTTTCAAATGTAGATGAAAATATGCGAGGTGGGTTTAAAGTCATTTGTATGACTATTGAATAAAAATAGGTACCTATCATGCACTCTCAAGAGCAGAAAATTCAGTGCAACCGTGCGTTGTTCCCGTAAAACTATCTTTCACAGGGGGGAGGGCGAGCGAGCAATGATCTTTGGCCAGTGCGTTTGTGTGGTCTACAAAGTTGCGTTATTAATTTGGTCTTACATTAGAGGGACAAATCATTGGACATTTGTCACATCTGATTTTCCAGAGCCTTCAACATAAATTTGTATAAAAAACGATGATTAAGTTAATATTTTTGGTATTTAAATGAAGGTAGTTAATGACATATTGTGTAAAACTTCACTTGATGATATGTTTGAAGGCCCGGGGACGGGGATATGCACAGGGGCGCGGGAACTACTTTCCGACTGGGGGGGCACACCATAATCGAGATCAACCTAGGGTACCCCCAAATCTAGTTTTCTCACCGGTTTTAGGCCACTTATTTTTCACCCCTCGGCTTTTTCAACAAAAAAGAAAACATTTGCAAAAAAGTGTGGTATTCCGTCTCAAAGCTGTGGGGGCACCGCCCCCACGGCCCCAGAGTTGGGGGGGGGCAAGCTGCCCCCACTGCCCCCCGGCTCCCGCGCCTATAGATATGCATAGCATATATTCAAGTAGGTACCTATCTCTTATCTCGAACTGTTATTCAAATGAAATAATAAGTATCCCACAACAGCTTACCAATTTAACTTCAGACGTGCCAGCTCGAATGTCAAATCCGCAAAACATATATAAGCATATATAGGCATGCATGATTGTCGTAACACCTCAAGAATGATCTTCCATTCCCAACAATGAGGGCTAGCACACATTGTGACCATCGAATTCAACGATCGGATTTCCTTAGAGGTGAAAACTGAAATGCATGGTGGAAAGTTAGACAAGTGCATAGACTTTAAATGGGAATCCATTGATAAAAAAACAGACGATTATATTTCGTATCATACGAAAGGGATATAATACTGCAATAGCAATAGGGCAATATTGCTCTTCAGATTGTACACATTTTCCATGCCTTATCAACGCACACAGTTAATTGCGGTTTGTTTGTTGCGTATGCTAGGACATGGCCTGCCGCGCATCCCATACTGGAAAAGTGCAATTGAGGCAGTGGTAAGCCTTCGAAAATGGAAGTAAAAGTGAACTAGGCATTGCAGTCAATTCCAAATTAGGCCTTTTGAGACTTCTCTGAACCATGCTGCTTTGCGTCAACAGCTATCGCGTTGGTTTACGGTTGTCATAAAATCCGACGCCCTCATAAGCGTCACTGTGTGTGCAATGATAGTCCTTCGGAGCTGAGGCTCCTCTGTCCACTCGCAGTAGTGCAGGGCAGAAGGCAGTGGGCAGTGGGCAGTGGTCAGTGGTCACTGGTCATTGGTCAGTCGTTAAAAGTCAGTGGTCAGAATCAGTAGTGAGTGGTCAGCATTAGTATCCAGTGGTCAGTGGCCTCGGGTCGGCGGTCAGCATGGCCACTGGCCAGTTGGCGACACCAGCCCAGTCACTTGCCCCGGCACACTGTGGATCCTGGGTCAGAGTTTGGGTTTATTGTTCATGAACTACATTGAGCGGTTCGTTGCTTTACAACATACTGGCACATACTACAACAACATACCCCCTTCGATCCCAAATTCCTACACATTGGGTTGTCCCAGCCGTGCGTCCGCCCGTCCATCTGTGCCTCTTCCCGTGAGTCCCCAAATATAAACCGGTCAGCGACCGGTCATCGCTGACCGGCCGGGCACGACAACCCATCGGTACCGAGATCCTTCACATAGGCGTGTCCAAGCCGCCCGTCCGTTCGTCCGTCCCTCAGACCGGTCCCCGTGCCGTGGCCACACGTGCGTCCCCCGTCGCGGGTCCCTGGCCGTATGGTGGCCACCTGTTCGGCCGTCCCGGCCCGCGGCGGCCGGCCCATCCCATGAACCGTCAAACACCGCCAGCAGTCCGCCCTTACCTGTCTGAAGGTCGCTGCTGACCGCCGATTCGTCACCGCAGACTGAACAGTGGACAGCTCCCCTCCTGCACACTGGCTCGGCGGTCACAGCCGGCGCTCTCCGTCCGTCCGCACAGATCCAGCCGGCTCCGCCGTGCGCTCCCCGCGACTGGCCGCCGCCCGCCCGCCGAGTCCCGCCGGTCGGCTATTGTCGGCCCGCCGAGCCGCCCCGGCCGCCGCGCCGCGCCGCCGCCGCTCCGCGCAAGACGTCCGCTGACGTCATGCCATTGTTGGCCAATGGGCGGCCGCGCCGCGCCGGCCGCAGCCAATCACAAAGGTGTCTTCAAGACAATGGTTTTAACGCCGTCCAATGGGAACAACAAGTGCGCGTCTATTGTGGCCGGTCGGAGGCGGCTCGGCTCGTCGGGCGGCGCGGGCGGCGAGCTGGCAGCGGCCTATACGGGCGGGCCCAGGTAACAATGGGATGGGCTAGCGTCGGTGCCCCTCCCACCGCCCGCTCGCCGGCCGGCCGGCCGAGCGGTGGCGCTCGACGGGAGGGCCGGCTCACCGTCTCAGGTGTGCCGTGGGGGGTCGGTTGGGGTCCCAGTCCTTCATACCACCACCACCTCGATTCGCCAACCGGGACTGGGGAGACGTATTCCCCCAGGGCCAATTCCAGGCAGCGTTGCGTTTTTGGAATCCGGTGCCTAACCGTAGACCCTCACCGCCGCTGACCCTGGTGCTTATGAGATAAGGATATCCTCAATTATAGCCAAAATGAAACTATTTTGTTAGGTGATGGACACTCAAGAAATCATGTTTTTTTAGCACAAATGAAATGCTCCGGTGGGCGGTGACTAAGCAGTAAAATCCATTGTCAAAACTGTTTTTGCGTGTAACGCGAGAGAATTGAAGAATTTCCTGTCGCATTTGCTTGTCATAAGTCATAACCCCAGCGTTGATGAGGCCAAGAATCTTACAGGTATTTAGATGAGGCATACGAGTAGTGTATCAGCCAGGTGATGAATTGAGGTCCTCCATTACCGACAACCGATAGCATGTTGAATGCAACAGCTTTATAGGTAACAGCAAACAGAAACGGACACTTGAGGAAGAAAATCGTTACTGGAGATAAACCGCAGAGGCACGTGCCCCCCCCCCCCCTGGAGATAAACTGCAAAGGTTTTGAGTCTGAATACCATTTTAAGGTATCTTGAATATGAATCGCACAAACGAAAAAACACATCCCTTGCTTGATACTGGCTTCCCGTTCAGCGAGACAAGGAGCAACTGTTTTTTTTCCTTTTTGTGAATTGACAGGACAATTTTTACAGGATTAACATCGTCTCCACTTTGACAAATGACAATGTTAGTCATATTTAATCGTGTTGTGCGTCATTTTTTTGCACTTTTATTCGTGATAAAATAGCTAATATTGCACGTTTATCTGGTTCAGATTGGTCATGGGCTAGTCAACAGCCTTGTAGTATACCTAATAAAAAAGCGCTTAATAAGGTTAACCATTTTTTATGTACCTTTCATGCCTAACACCAGAATATTTGCTTTTTCATCATAAGTTTCGGACCGTGTTTGAAATGTGTATATTGGTACCAATTCAAGATACTCTTTCTAACTGCTCGTAACCGTTTTTTTTTTTATTGAACCTGCAAGCACTAAAATTATTTCGTGACCGCAAGTGTGGCATAAGTAGATGCTACAATGTTTTATTGCTTTAATGTGTGCTCTGGCTTTGGAGGGTATCCAAGGGGCATCGGATGCATTTGCTCCTTTGGGTTTCGTCCAAAACTGAGAAGCTTTTTTTCTCACATGGATGAAAACTGAACCATTTCGGAAGAGCTAGTTTGCGTTGAATTGCACAGCAACTCATAAGGAAGCAAAATACGAGTTTTTCTTTAAATATTGGAACTTTTATGGATAATATCTCCCTAAAACATCATCGCTACCTTTCTATGTATGTATAGGTATCAGCCCAGGTATAAGGAATGGTATTCGTATATCAAAAGATAAGAGTGATAGACACAGAAAAGAGCGACAATCTGCATTTTCCTTCCATGCCCTAAATGGAGCACGTCACTTTTTATGTGAGCTATATATGTAGTTATCTGTCGTCGTAAGATAAAGACGCTGATCCTTGTCACAAATGCTTATAATAGAGCGACAACACATCTCCTATAACTCGCCACAGCTTGCGGTGCCTGATCCTACTGGAAGCTGTTGAGTTCAATCAAATACGGCATTTGTACTGTGAGAGAAAAACACGGCCCTATCGCGGTGCCGCCGTCCGGGCAGCATGGTTGGTATGCCGCGCACCGAACGCCAGAGATCAATACGTAAACGCCACAGAGGAACTCGCCGATTAGCGGCACACAGAATCAAAGTGCAGTCAATCGCAGTCCACTTACAATGTGAGCAGGCTCACATGATGAAAGGTTGCCAGTTTTCAAAGTGCATTCTGAATACCAAAGTTGTCAATGGTTTTTAGAACTAGCAAAAATGCAGAATTCCATCGCATTTGAGCTTGCTTGCAAGCTGTAACACAAGTTGATTTCTTCGGAAACAGCAAAACTTAGATGCATCAGAGGGGTAAAGTTTATAAGCAAAACTTTTCCAGCGATTTCAACCACTTATTTTGCAAGAAGCTCAACACATAGGTTCCTGATTGATTTTAAAAATGTTTGCTGTTTTGAGTTTGTCTAACAAAATAAGGACTTTGTCTTTGCCGTTTCCAAAAAAAAAGAAACGTTCGCTTCCATGGATTTGTCTCTAAAGATAGAAGGAAACTTGAGGAATTAAAGGTCCCGGTCCTTCACAGTAAATATAATATGTTTGATGATCGTTCCTCTGTTGGTCGGACAAAACGGCTGGTAAAAGTGATTGCTCTCAGATGACCTCCGACAGTCTCCTGCCTCCCCGCGACCCCTCTTCACCTGGATGTGTGATGGCAGACGTCACAGCGGCACCAGGCGGTCACCACTCACCGCTGGACACCCGCCAGTAGCGTCACCACCCGTCACTCACCGTCACCAGCGCGGCCGGCCCGTCAGCACAGCGCCCTCCCCTCCCCCCTCCCCAGGGAAACACTCTCAGCAGACTTATGCAAATGAGCATAAATCAAACGAGAGAGCAAAACGTTCAGTGAAATCAACGAGCACCGACTTGATGCACTTTAATGAAAGACAATATTAAACAGACATAATTAAACATAGTTTGTCTAACCCTAATTGGCAGTTGGGAGATCAAAGCTAAACTGTGGGGAACAGGGCCGGCCGACGGCTCGACAGTCGACTTTTACCCAGCGTTCGTTCCCGCCAGTCTGTATGGTTGTCTGCACACGCAAAGGCACCATGCTCAACAATTTTGCACCGATTTGTCGGGACGGCTGCTGATTTTCTATTAATCGTATGCGGTGGCTATGATTCGGAATTGCCCAGGGGCGCGCGTTTTCCTTTGACTAGCCGAGCAGAGGTCATTGTAAACGCAGCGACGAAGATTGTAATTTTCTGTGACGGTTCAATCTGACTTCAGCGAGGCGCGCAGTGGCGCACGGCACTCGCCGCAGTATTAAATTGGGTCTGGAGCTTTCAATTCATTTTATTTTATTTCAGACTGCGATATAGCAGCTATTGCGAATTTATATTATGATTTGCCAATATAAATGGAGAGACGGGAGCAATGGTAAAAGAAAAAAACATTAGGTATAGAATGCCTCAAACATCTAACTCCTTCAATACATAACCCATGTGTATTGCGTACTTTTACTCAACAACTATTCAAATCGTCATAATGGATAAGATATATGCCCAATGCTTCGTCGTAAAAAGGGTTTGAACTATATAGCAAAAGAGAATGCTCCCAAAGCTGCGTTTCCTAGGCCGAAATATCTACATGAATACAATGCTGGCTCGGACAACCGCATAGCACTTAAATCGAACTGCCAGTCCGTTCAGTCCTTCTCCTCGAACCGGAGCCGTCCGAAAATGTCGAGCAGCCCGGCGGAGACACGTGCACCCACTCGTGCGGTCGGCCGCCGAACCAGCGACGCACAATGTCCCGCTCTCCGCCGAACCAGCGCCGCACAATGTCCCGCCCGCCGAAAATCAACACTCGTCCCGGGCCGTATACAAATTCGGCTCTAATGAGACATCGGGCCGCCGCCTCAATAGCCATTATTTTTGGAGTGAGCTTTGTGCGCCACAATGGTCGCGGTGCGCTGCGTCGATCGGCGGCGTTCGATGGCGACCGACCGAGCGATCGTCGTCTCACGATGTCGCCGGCTTCGACGGAGAGAGACGGGGGCTGGTGGTACACAATCGGAAGGTGGTAGACTTAGAGTAATTCTGCTGGGAAAGGAGAAGGGCTGGGCAGGTCAGCATGGGGGAGGCGGAGAGCGAGCAAAGACTGTGGGAGAAAGTGTGGAAGAAAGTGTGGGAGAGCCATGCAGTAACGACAACCTGGATCCTGCACCGATCAGTTGGATGAAGGGCCTTCATCAGCCGGATGGAGAGGCGGAGGGCCAACAAGCATGAAGAACTACAAGGGGGATATGAATTATCACAGCTTCTCTACGAATGCAACATTTTCCTTGCAAAGTACTGAGCACTCACATTTAATTGCGTATGATTGGAGGCGAAAAACAAGGCGTTGCATTTCAGTCTCATGGACCAGCCTGGACGAATTTGATTATGGATACTTGAGGTACCAATGTTTAGTGCGCAAACATTCTTGTTATACTAATGCATCATATTGGCCGGAAGCTCGACGTAAAGGCTACTGTTTCGATTTTGATAAGAAATCCTTCCAACCCATTATACCTACTGTTCATTTCTAAGCTTGCACGCTATGCGAGTAACGGCCTTGTTTGAACAGAGATGTTTCTAACATCGGGATCTAGTCGAGAGAAAGCACCCGATACCGACCTGAGTCAGGAGACGAAGCGTCGTCTCTCTCTCTCTCTCTCTCTCTCTCTCTCTCTCTCTCTCTCTCTCTCTCTCTCTCTCTCTCTCTCTCTCTCTCTCTCTCTCTCTCTCTCTCTCTCTCTCTCTCTCTCTCTCTCTCTCTCTCTCTCTCTCTCTCTCTCTCTCTCTCTCTCTCTCTCTCTCTCTCTCTCTCTCTCTCTCTCTCTCTCTCTCTCTCTCTCTCTCTCTCTCTCTCTCTCTCTCTCTCTCTCTCTCTCTCTCTCTCTCTCTCTCTCTCTCTCTCTCTCTCTCTCTCTCTCTC